GAACCCCATAATCAAAAGACAAGATACATACATAAAATTTTCGATGTTGAGAGAGGAGATAAAGAGAATAGGTTGGGTTCGATGCCACAGTATGACTCAAACTCGACGAATACTAATTGTACAAAAGGTTCCCATGTCGCTTATGGGGTTAGGGTTTAGGTTTTTAGATAGGGTTAGGGTTGGTACTTCAAAATCAGAAATGGTATTTGTATAGGAATAAAATTATAAATATTTTTTTTTTATTCACTCCTTCTAGAACTATTATTTATCTAATTGACCATTGGGTTTATGGGCGTCACAGTAAGGCTTCTTCGATACCAAACCCAAAACAAATGATAAAAGCCGTCGTATTCGCTTTAAAAAAAAAAAAACAGAGAGAGAGAAACTTGGAGAATGAACCTCATAACGTACCTCATTAATTTGATGCCATTAGTTTAGGGCTTGTTTAATGCGCAAAATTAGGAATAACTGAATATGATTAAATTTCAATATTTTGTTTGATGAACATTTTTAAAGGACTGGATTAGATAAATTTTTGTCCAATCCATTATCTATTTCCCTAGGGATGTTGTTATCCCCTGCAGAAGTATTGGATAACTTTTGACTAAAGCATATTGTGAAAAAACACTATGGACTTATTTGTAAATTTTTATAAAATTTAGGGTTTAATTCTATTTTTCAAAATTTGAGGGTCAAAAATATTTTTAAAAATTATATTTTTACCCATCAAATTTTAAAAAATTACAATTTAACAATAAATTTACAAAAATGCCTTTATCCTAATAACACAACACCACACATGGATCGGATTAAATTAAAATCTAATCATATACTTTCTATGCATTCCAATCTATTGCCTTAAAATTATACTATCCTATCATGCGCACCAAACGTGGGTTAAATGTGATATTACTAGAGCTTACCCTTCTTCAAAACCAAACACCTTCAAATGTGGTATCTTAGTGAGGAATACTGTCGGTGTAGATTTGGTCCAGTACCATTACGAAGTGTAATTATTTATTCACCACCTTACTTTTATGCGGATGGTTTGAAAAATTCATTTCTATATTGCAGAATGATGATTTTACCTTTCTTTGATATTAAAAAAAAATTAAGAAAATGAACTAAAAGAGAGGACATATATTTCGTCTCTTTATTCTTTTAAAATGGCGTTTCCAATCTCCCATATATTTTTTTTCTCATCTTCCAATCTCCCACATTAATAGTGGTATAATCCAATACCGATCTTTCGAATGTGGCATTCCTTTAACTGATTGGGAGCATATTTTATATATAATAAACATTAAAGAAAAATTTTGTACAAGTTGAGATAGTTGTGGGGATAATGGGCTTATTTTTTTGAGTGAAAAACTCAAAAAAAATGCAACTTGAGTTATAATTTTATTTGAGTTCATATTTTTTTAAGTTCAAACTCGAGTTTAGGACTAAAACTCGAGTTCAAATTTTCTTTTCAACTCGAAAACTCGAGCTCAAATTAATGAACAGTATTTTTTCTATTCTTAAAAATGTTATAACTTTTTCGTTTTAATTCTGATTGAGATGATTTTTTTTCTATGCGTTGACAACGAAAAGACGAATAAAACTCGACCCATATACCCTATTAAAATTTTTCATCAGCAATGAGTTTTTATTAAAATACTATCTAAATACAAATTCAAGTTTTGACTTATTAAAATACAAACTCAAAAAGATTTTTATCTCAAATCATAACTCAAATGTACACAATCAAACACAAACTCAAGTTACAAGTTCAACTCAAGTTATAATTTAAATTTAATTCAAGAATTATACTCAAGTTAAACTCTAAAAGAACAAACCTAATATTTATTGATCCCTGAACCTGAGACAAAATGTGACGAGGGTTATGGCTATTTGACCGGTGCCTAGACTGGTCGTGTGTTTGGCATCCTTGCTCCTTAATGATGTGGCACATTTGTTGGTATCATAAGTTATGTCAGGCAACTACGCTGGGCTGCACGACTGGTAATGGTTCATGACACATCGGCAGTGTTTCCCACTTCATTCGGTGGGTAATCTTTTCTTGTTGTTTTGGGTGTAGATAATCGTATCTCTATTGGAACCTTTGTCCTTATTGTTTGTGGTTTTGTTTTTTTTGTTTTTTTTTTTTTTTTTTTTTTTTTTTTTTCCTTTTTCGGTTTGGGTTTGTGATAATAATGGATTTTACTCCAATTTAAGGCTTTTTTACATGGGTGCCCGCTTAACTTATCCCGATTGGTAAATCAATCCCTAAACTAAAAATTTTTGACAGATTTTCTTCACATGAATAGCACGTGACTTTTAAAAGAGGGTATACCAGGTCTTTTTTATCAAATTAAGAATTAACAAAAAATAAAATAAAATAAAATGGATAAAGTAGCAAGAACCTTAGTCCCACCCTTCACCTTCTCCCTTGCCCCCCTCGCACTCACCGTCGGCCCCCCACCCTACTTGATGCCAACGTTGCAATGAATCTCTGGTGTCACAGTGCAAATGAAGCCATTGCAGCAAATAACCATATCCAACAAAACCAAGATAGAATAATTTTTGACAAACGAAGGAAAAGTAAAGCTTGATGTCGATATTGGCACTGACGACAGCAAGATTAGCAGAGAAGGGGCTGAAATCTAGAGTTAAGATTGGTTACCATTTAACATGCATACCCTTCGTTGTCTTCCTCTTCTTCGAATTTGATATTTCAACTCTTTGTTAGGGCTTCAATTTTGGGAAAAGCAACTGCTTTTGGGCAACAAGGAAGAGGAAAAGGCGTTTCATCTTTTGTCAGGTTTTTATTTTTATTTTTAGAGATGTACCCATGTACATAGAACTTCCATATGAAAGTCATTCGAGCATTCTCCGCTCCTCTAACAAAAATTGATGGGTTTGACAATTTTTAAACAAAATATATGGTTGATGAAAATATATGTACCTTTGCTCATTTTAAGCAATGTAGGTCAATTTAGGACTCTAGTTTTGTTTTGTTGGTAGTGATGTTATTGCTGATCTGTTCCTTTTTCAAAAAAAAAAAAAAAACAAAAACAAAAGTATTGTTGGTAGTTTGTATTTAAAATAAACAAATAGAGAGATGTTTCAGACCTGCTTGTGTTTCTTGTTCCTTAGAAATGTGTAGGTTGAAAGATTCAAGAGTGGTTTTTGTTCTCTTTCTCAGTTTTAAAAATTTTTCTCGTTTTCTTTTCTTAAAATAAATGATATGGGTTAAATTTCAAGCACAAGGACATAATATACCCTCTTTCAAAAGTCACGTGATTCTCATGTGAAGAAAATTCATCTAAAATTTAACACCATTTTCAATTGGACTTGGCATGCTAGAATTTTAAAGTTTGAGGGGTCAATTGCCATAATTTTTAGTTTAGAGATTGTTTTGCCAATTGCGATAAGTTGAGGGGGCACTCATGTAAAAAAAAATCCCGATTTAATTGTGCATTTATCTGGTTTGTTTAGTGTACGGTTGTGTTTCTTATTAGTTGAACTTGTTTGTCGGTGATTTTTTTTGTGTGGTCTTAGTTGTATGCGATATTTCCATTTAATTTGTAGAGGATCTTTAAAGAACCATGTGTATTCGATTTTCTGATATGCCTCTTTCATTTTATGTTTTAGGAGTTCACAAACACCATTTTTCCTTTAATTTGAGTTTACAGGTAGAATCATTTGCTTTTCAACAATTTTTTTTCATATATAATAAGAGGTTGTGTCGTTTATATTGGTGTTTGTATTGTCCTTTTATATTATGAATTATATCTCTCTTTCAAAATAAATTGATATTTTGTATAGAAATTTGCTAAAAGTAAAAATGTTAGTTATTGGATTACCTGTTGTGTTGTCTTGTGATGTAATTTTTCATACTCATTAATAGGAGATTTACTTATTGGCCATAATAAGTGTTGTATAAAAAAAAAAAAAAAAAAAAAAAAAAAAGAAGGTATACGTAATAGGAAGAGAGAAAATGAAGAAACTTGTGGGCCGCCTATTGATTGGGCAACTATCCATGTTCTCAAGGTGTCACTCTCCAGGTCACAAGCGACCGACCACTAAAACCAAGTTTTATTTATTTATTATATTTTTTAAATAAAAATAATATTATTTTCTTAAGAGACAAATGCTAGTATCTTTTTGGGTCATTCTTTTTATCATTTTTATATTTATTATTTGATATGTGAATTGTATTAACATAATTTATATTTTTTAAAAATAAAAAACATATTATATTATTATTTAAACAGAAATGAGATAATAAAATCACGTATTAAACGGTGAATGTAGAAAATGATAAAAAATAGTAAGGTTAATATTTCTCTCCTTAAAACATAATAAAATAATTTGTTCAAATCTCTCATCTTCACTATCAAAAAAGTAAGAGCCCGTTTAGTTTACTTATTTGAGTTTTTAATTCGAGTTAATATGTGATTTTATGTGAAAAATTTTTATTATAATCAAAAAAATTAAATGTGATTATTTCTAAAAAAAAATTTACTCTAATAAAATTTAAATTTTAAATTCAAAACAAGACATAAATAACTATTTATTTATTTCCCAAGTTCCAAACCAATTTTCAATACCTTTCACAAAGATTTTAAGATAGCGCGTGTACACCACATTCCCTTCCCCCTCCCCGGCCGCAGGATTAAGATTTATGGGCAGGAAGTGGCACGAAGATTATCATCTAAACTCAAAGTTTATCACGAGTTTTAGCGTGATTATGGCCGCACCAGAACATATCTTATTCCCATAGTACACGTAATGGACTCTTTATGTCAAGGTCGGGCCCACTAATCGCAGGTATGGTCATCAAATTCAAGAGGAGCACGGGGAGGGAGCAACACCTCCGTCCTGGAAAATTCACAGCCAAAAACGTTTCTTCGATCACCAATAAACAAGGTAAAAATATATTTCCATTTCTTTTCTGTACTTTTTAAATTTCATCGCATTTGGAAATTATTTTAGATTTCTGATCATCCCACTTTCCCTTTGGTTCGGATTCGGACCTCCGTCCTGGAAAATTCACAGCCAAAAACGTTTCTTCGATCACCAATAAACAAGGTAAAAATATATTTCCATTTCTTTTCTGTAGTTTTTAAATTTCATCGCATTTGGAAATTATTTTAGATTTCTGATCATCCCAGTTTTGTTCATAAACTAATACGAATTAGTCTATAATATTTTGATATATATATAAATATATATATGTATACACACACATACACACACACATATATATATATATATGCGAGCTAGCTCATCTCCTGCGATTGTTCATCACCTTCATATTGCAAGGATATTTTAGTTCTTTTGTTGAATTTTCATTGTAATATTTTTGAATTATGCTCAAATTCATGAAAAGAGGTGATCCATTTGTATTTTGCTTTTCTGCTGGATTTGTAGGATATTTACGTGTCTGAATGGAAGACTTTGAATTTCAAAGCCGTGTGCGTTTGGAAAAATTCTTATCTTTTCTCCTTTTTCTTTTTTGGTTAATTTTCTGTTGGCGCCTTTGTTTTCGTGAAATTTCTGTTTTTTATATTTGCTAAGTCGTGAGTTGTTTGAGAATTTTCATCTTTAAATTGTTTCTCCAATATAGGAAAATGTTTTTTTTTAGTAAAAACATTACTGTATGAAAACTTGATTAGGTAGGATTTGATTTTAAATGAATATACCATGTTGGGCAATCATCAAAACGTATGAATTTGAAATTTCAAAACTGACAGCTTTGATTGTTATTTCATGGTGGATTTAGCTTTAATTTGTAATCTCATTTGTTTTTCACATTTGTTGAGTGTAGGTGTTCAGATTCAAGGGTGGCATATTTTGGCCTAATCTTGAGCTTTCTGCTGAATATCTATGAGGTTAAAAGTCTTTCAACATTCTCTGATATAATATTTCAACAATCAAGTTACAATCTTTCAGCATTCTCTGATTTCCCCCTTGAAATATAAGATCCAGGGAATGCTGAAAGATGTGCCTCGGTACTCAGAACTTTGCTGCTCAAAGCCATGAGGCTTTGAATTCATTAGAGCTGCCTTTGTTGTTTGCCCTTAGTGAGGCTGGGTCTATACATCAAAGTTCGATCACCCTCGGTTCGAAAAAGCTCCATGGGACCTCACGTAGGTGCAAAATGCTGGTTTTCTTGATGCATGATCCGAGTGAAGACGGTTGAACGGATTCTTTTTCCTTTCTTTTTTTTTATCGTTAAAATATATAGACTATATTAGCAGGAACACGTAAGGGGCTGTTGTTTAGGTTTTTAGGCTTGGAATGGAAAACAAGTCGAATGTGTTATTAAAGAGGTATGAGTTAGGAAGGTTACTTGGCCAAGGCACGTTTGCAAAGGTTTACTATGCGAGGAGCTTGATAACCAATCAGAGTGTAGCCATCAAAGTCATAGATAAAGAAAAGATTATGAAGGTTGGGCTCGTTGATCAAATCAAGCGCGAAATTTCTATTATGACATTGGTAAAGCATCCGAATGTCATACAGCTTTATGAGGTCATGGCGACCAAAACAAAAATCTACTTTGTTATGGAGTATGCTAAAGGCGGCGAGCTATTTGACAAGGTTGCCAAAGGAAAGCTGAAGGAGGAAGTCGCGTGGAAATATTTTAACCAGCTGATCAACGCAGTTGACTTTTGTCACAGTAGAGGTGTTTATCACCGTGATATAAAGCCGGAGAACTTGTTGCTGGATGAGAATGATAATCTGAAGGCTTCTGATTTTGGATTAAGTGCTCTTGCTGAAAGCAAGCACCAAGACGGGCTGCTCCACACCACTTGTGGCACCCCTGCTTATGTTGCTCCTGAAGTCATTAACAGGAAAGGATATGATGGTGCCAAAGCTGATATTTGGTCTTGCGGGGTGGTGTTGTACGTTTTATTGGATGGTTATCTCCCGTTTCATGATTCAAATTTGATGGAGCTGTATAGGAAAATTGGCAGAGCAGATTTCAAATGCCCAAGTTGGTTCCCTCCCGAAGTAAAGAGGCTGTTGTTCAGAATCCTGGATCCAAACCCCAGTACAAGGGCTTCCATTGATAAAATCAAGGAAAGTACTTGGTACAAAAAAGGATTGAAGTCCAAGCATATTAATTTTGAATCAGAAAACAAGGATGCGTCTTCTTTAGATACAGAGACTTCTAGTTGGCATGAGAGTGCCAGTGTGGCTGCCGAGGGAAAACAAGAACCAATCAGACCTCCAAACTTGAATGCTTTTGATATAATCTCTCTTTCTGTTGGGTTTGATCTGTCTGGCTTGTTTGAAGAAGATTATCGGAGGAGAGAAGCAAGATTCATTTTCAGAAAACCTGCCACAGTCATCGTCTCCAAGCTGGAAGAAATTGCTAAGAAACTGAGGATGAAAGTGAAGAAAAGGGATGCGGGATTGTTCAGATTGGAGGGTCTGAGGGAAGGTAGAAAGGGAATCTTGTCCATTGATGCAGAGATATTCGAGGTCACTCCATCTTTTCATTTGGTGGAGGTAAAATTATCAAATGGAGATTCAATGGAGTATCAAAAGATACTGAAAGACGACATAAAGCCGGCTCTCCAGGACATAGCTTGGGTTTGGCAAGACGACCAACAACAGCAGCCACACCAACAGCAACAACATCATCTACAACCGCATGAGGTGCAGCATGAACGGCTACCACAACTACAACAGGAAGAACAACATAAACAGCAACAACAATGCCAACCCTTTGCCAGCGTTCACCTTGTATCTTAAATTATTGTACATTTCACAAACTTTCAACCTCCTAACTGTCTCTGTATTCCTGTAAGTTTCAGATCTCTCTTAAAGAAAATATTCTTATATTTTATTTTCATTAAATTGTCGTTTTTAGAATATTTTTTATCATATACTGCTTCTGAAGGTTGTAGTAGGCATGTTTTGCATTTTCCATTTGAAAATTTTCAGTTATATGAGTAACGTTCATAGAAATTTGCCAACATAAATCCCGGAAAACCTAGCAAAAGACCTTTACTTAAATATCTTATTATTTGGAACTGCGCTGTGATTCAGGTGTATTGAAACTGTGTGACATGAACTGAAGCAACTCTATTCAATGTATATCATTTTTTTTTCCCGTCAGGTTTACGTTTAAATGTAACATAGAAACTTCTGAAGATTTTCTGACTTTAATGACATTTTCAGCTGTCACGCTCATATTTTTATGCCAGCTAAATTTTCGCCTTCAGATTTTGATATTAACAAACAGAAGTAAAATTTCAGTGCTCAATACAAACAAGTTTGAAATACAAGACTAAGTCATATATGTCGGCAGCGAAAACAAGATACAATTAGTATCACAATGATTTAAACAATAAAGATTGTTGTACAATAAAAATTTAAACAATAAAGATTGTTGTATATTCTTATTGATTCGTTGTTGAGTGAGTCAACGGCATGAAACAGTACAACAAGTATGCTGCGAGCAGCGAGAATAACTGCAACTCTCACTTTTTATAGTAGTAACACACCTATAACACAGAAAACAAGCATCTTCTAATTCACCCTTAAATTTTCGGAAACCTGTTCTAATTCACCATTTAACCCTTTTAGGCATAGTTAATCAAATCCCTCCATAGACTACTTCTGCATAGAGGAGATGGAGTCGTCAAATCTACCACCTCTACTTCACCAGGCGCATTGTGGGGCTCTTTATTCCTTGCTCTTTTGTTGGCCTTGTTCCCCCACAAGCTACTTCTGCATAGAGGAGATGGAGTCGTCACATCTATAATCTCTACTTCACTAGGCACAATATGGCTGCTAGGTGGTTGATCATCGTCTATGGTTACTAGAGATTTAGATGGATCCTTTGCTGGTCGCTTCGATTTAAAACTTTCGTCTTTAAATAGCCCAGAGATACCAGTATCATCAGTAAATTCTCCAGCAAGTGAACCACTACTACTCACATTTGAAGATGGTCTTGCAGGTAACTCTGCAAAAGTAGATTGTTCTCTACAATCTTCTCCTTCAGTTATCCAGCCATATAGTTTACCAAGGCCGTTCTTATCATGTTCTTCCGTGTTTCCAAACATGGAATTTGACAATGTTTCTTCTGCACTTTCACTGCCGCTGCCAGCTTCATCCCGTTCTTCATTATCCCATTCGCCCTCATTTTCAAACAAACCCTCATCCCCTTTGACATAGCACGGAAGCTCATCCATGGGACAAATTTTGACCTTCTTGTGCTGCGGCAAACTCAGGCAGCCAGCAGAGTGCTGAGTGTACTTTGTTGAGAAATAGTTTACAGTGATGTTCAAGCTATTGACATAAATGGAGATAATACATATTCAGTAAGTTATAGTAATTGCAATGTCCAACCATTGACATGGCTAATCAGATCATACCTCTGCCATGAAGGTAAGGTAAGCATGGTGTATGCCAGTTTGATCTTATTGGCTATTCCAGATAAAGACTTAAAACTCGCGGCCGCTTTCCTCACAGCCAACGATTCGTTTGGGTGCTGCCATGCCCACTCAAACTGCAAGTTTCATAGTAAATGATGTTAAAATAGGACTCCAAACAGATATGAGTCTTCATCAATCAGTTTTGGTCAGGTCAATAAGAGAACGCACAAAATTTTCATACAACAAATTCAGAAGAAATGGCTACCAAAAGAAAAGTACGGATTTATTAGAGAGGATATAAATTAAGACCCACTTAGCAAGAAGCTATAAAGAATCGATTTTGTTCTGGTTGAACTGGGAAAAGAATGAAACAAAACCTGAAGAGCGGAAACGTTAGAAGGGAAGCCATGGATGCACAAGACCATCTCCCAAGGACGCCTCTTCTTGGTTCGCCACGCTCCGCACCCGATTTCGCCGTTGTGCTGCCTAATACGACGTCGTGGGTTCACTGTGAATCTGCATCAGCAAGCTCCAGATCAGGAAAAAGAGGGAGAAAAAAAGATCGATATGGGATAAAATTAAAAGAAAATGGTGATTTCTAATTAAAAACCGAGGAAAAAAGAAGAAAGAGAGAATACCCAATGTAAGTATGGCCTTTGTGGCGAGGACTGAGGGAAACCAATAGATAGCAAGCGTAAAAGCCTTTCCTTTCTCCGTCGTCGCCGATCTCTACTGTTAATTCCTGCGTTAGGGTTTCTGACGGCTCTCTTTGCGCTCTCTTCCTTTGCTTCATCTTCTCTCTCTCTCTCTCTCTCTTTCTCTAGATGGATTGATTCACACTGAAATTCGACCGTTGGGGCCTGGTAATAATATACGACTCGTTTATATCCTTTTTATTTTTTTTTTTTTTGACCTTTTTTTTTGGGTTCTAAAGGCTTGCGTGGAATAAATTGGAACTTGCAGAGTGATCCGTCTTAGCTACGGCCAGCGCAAAATCAACATATGTGGCGTACTGTGGGCCCGTTTAGTTCTCTGATTCGAGTTTTTAATTCGAATTGAGATGTGATTTTATGTGAGAGCTTTTTACTGTAGCAAAAAAGTTAAATATAATTGTTTGTGAGAGCTTTTTACTATAGCAAAACTCAAATTCTAAACTCGAATCAGCAAAATGAACGAGCCTGAATCCACGGTTTCCTTGTTTTGCCACGTGGCATGCTGAAAACACAGAAAATATCTTATTATTAGGAATTGTGTCCTATAAGCCTATGTAATAAAGAATATATTATTATTTATATAATAAAAGAGAATTTTTATTATTTATGTATGTATTATTGAAGAATATCATTGAAAATTCTGTGTTTATTTATATAACTTTAAATATTATATATAAAAATTATATACGAGAAGATAATAATCGAAATGTGTTCGTAATGAATTTAATTAAAGTTTTAGAATCTTTAATTAATACATTATTAATACATGTTATTCTCATTAAGAATGGAACGGTGTTATCCGCATTGTTAATATGAAGGGATATTGAATGAGTGTATTACAAATAATGTGACTATGTGGAACCCGGACACATACATGATTTGAATTTCTTATAATTTTCGTTAAGTATAGAAATTCGAATTGAGACTATTGTCGGTCATATATAGAAGGATCGCAATCGTGACTTATTAGCATATTCCTAATTATGGATTTGTGTATTTTGATTAACTCAGTACGAATTTCGAGATTATAAATCATATTCCTTGTATCTCGGAGACATGATGAAGTATGTAGCTGAAAATGCTAATATACGAGATGAAATTCATTCTTTCTAGAATAAAGAAGTAGATTAATAATTTCCTTGAGAGTTGATTCTGTCGTATTCATGACTTTGTTTTATGAATATATTATTCATTAGAGAATCAATGGTACCCAATGATAAAAATGTAGTTAGAAATGTTAACAGATTATACCTCACTCTAATTATGAATTATTTATGGATGATTGATCTATATGTAATGGTCATATCAAATGGACACTTCAAATTTAGAAGTAAATTACATCTATAATTGTGACAGTGCAATTCTGAGTTTATAGTAGACTAACTTTGGAATTAATAGAATTAATAAATTAATTAAAGAGTTTGATTAATTATTAATTTTATTAGAACTCAGAATTATAGGTTCATGAGTTCCTGCGTCGTCCCTATAAATCTACAAGACACTAAGGACAAAATGAAAACCTTTAAGAATTATAAAATTCTAAATAAAACACTCAAAAATAATTAATTGAGAATTAATTAAATATTAAATAATGTCATTATTTAATTTAAATTTTGAAACACACATGTGTTGAAGATCACAACCGTCACACGCCCAACACTATTAGAATCCCTCTGGGATTTAGTTGTTTGCTCTCTAAGTTATCTAATTGACTTATTTGATAAGTTATCCAATTGGAATTCTAATTGAATTTAAGTTTGACTTTAATTTGAATTTAAATTTTGAGTCAAAATTGGACAACTAGATAAAGAAAAAATTGTATCTCCTCCTTACCACAGTAGGCACCAACCACAAAAGCCTTATCCCTGTGGTGACCAAATTTTATCTACAGCGGGAGAGAGAAAATTGTTCCAAGGTTGTAGAATATTAGAGAACACAATTTTTCTCTCCCTTCCCCTATGTGATAGGCGTGTAACATGCTAATTACAGACGTGTAACATTTTGTCAGAGAGTGTGTAACATGCTAGTGACAGCGTGTAACTTTTTCACTCCATTCCCTGCAGATGGCATGTAATATGTCTAGTGTAGGCATGTAACACGCAGTTGGTTAGTGTGTAACCTACTAGAGGTGCTGGTTCCCGAATCGAATTCGGGTGCAGAAGCGTGGCGGGGAGGCGAATCGTGTATAACAAAAATTTTCATAAAACTTTTGAGATACTCTATAGATTATATTAATTTATGCACGAATAAATTAATCGCATTAATTTACATCAAGAACTCAATCCGGAAAAATACCTGGAAGCCGACTCGGATGATAACTTGAATTCTTTGACCACGAACAGTCCTTACTCCAAGTTTGTGTTTAGAATACCAAAGTCTTCCACGTCAATTCCTTGATTCCACGTAGACGTGTGTGTGGGCACACGTGAGACAAAATAGGTTTCTAAAACACTCGAATTTCCACAAACACCAACACATGCACGATGTGAAATTTTTGGAGAAAAATATTCTCTCTTTTGCTATTGAGAAATTCGGCCACCACTAACTCTTAGGGCTGAAAATTGTTTTCAAAAATTGTATCCACAATTTTCTATCATTCTCATATTTAAATAGTAGAAGTCAAACTTCAAAACAGAATCAAATCCTTATCTCCAATTTTGAATTTTTGAACAAAAAATCCCTTCCCTTTATCTCCAATGTAGCCGGCCACCCTAAGGGTTTTCTAACCCTGTGTGTGGCGCCAATTCTGATAGGGAAGGAAGAGAAAAAATCATCATTTATCCTGTAGTCCAATTTTGACTCAAATTCAAATTCCAATTTAAGTCAAACTTAAATTAATTTGAATTCTAAA